ATGATAAAGACACACCGAAGATAGAGCAAAAAAATGTCTTATCCTATAACATCAAGATCCAGACATTTGATGAACAATAGGATATGGTATCCTTCACCGACATAAGTCTAGCGGGAGTTGGCTCGAGTCACCTCAGATGATTGGCAGTCCCACGCCCGACAATGTAATCGACTCGTGGACACTGAAAATTTCTAAAAAAAAATATATGATAAGTTTTGATAAACCCTTTTCAAGCAAAAACATACTTTTCTACGAAACAAAAATTGATAACTCATCTTTGCATGTTTAAAATTTGTGTGCATGTCAAAAACATAAATTTTAAAAATACATTTTAAAATTGATTGTCCACCCGACGAATACCTGTTTAGGCTGGGAAGTAGCCTTTTAGGTGAGGTTCAGGACACACTTCTAGACGAGTGGCAGGTTCTATACATTTGGGTGACCGAGTAGCCTTCGTGGACTCTCGAGTACATATACATATATCTGAGCCTAGCCCTACACAAGTGCTTGCGGTCCCCCTTACTCGAACTTTTTGTTTTATCGAAGCTTTGGACAGAACACTTGTGTTTCTTTTCCTTTTTTTTTAAGATTTCCCCGAGATTTTTGAAGATGTTTACTTGAGTCTTTCTCGTTGATTTTCTCGAGTTTTCGGTCATGAGTCGTCCTTACACTTTTCTTCGGATTTCTCGGATGGCTTTTCTTTCAGACTTCGCTTTTTGCAATATATTTCAGCTTGCTATATTTAAGAAACAGTGGACGCCACGGACGTACATGTTAGTTTTACATTTACAGAATGTTATTCTATTCCTGTTTCTACCTGCGACTGTTCTGTACAGCATGTTATATTATTCCTGTTTCTACCCGCTAGTGTTCTGTAAAGCATGTTACACTGTTCCTTTTACTGTACTTGCTACCGCTCTATAAAACATGTTATACTGTCCCTTTTACTATACCTGCTATTGTCATGTATGGCATGTAGACTGTTTCTTTTATTGTGCTTTCTACTGCTTGCCCTGTACTGCACATTTTATATTGTATAGCCTTAAGCATGCCTCCTTTCCACATTTTACGCTGTTTCTTTTCTTCGGATTTCTCGGGATTTCTCGGACAGCTTTTCTTCCAGACTTCGCTTTTTGCAATATATTTCAGCTTGCTATATTTAAGAAACAGTGGACCCCACGGGCGTACAAGTTCGTTTTACATTTACAAAATGTTATTCTATTCCTGTTTATACCTGCTACTGTCATGTACAACATGTTATTCTATTTTTGTTCCTACCTACTACTATTCTGTACAGCGTGTTATATTATATCTGTTTCTACCCGCTATTGTTCTATAAATACTTGCTACCG